AACCCATGCTGGCTGGGCCTGATCCCCTGGTTGTCCTGTACGTGCTGCGTGATGGCACTCAAGATGAACCGCTCCATAACCTTCCCCGGCACCGCGGTCAGACTGACAGGCCTGTAGCTCCCCGGATCCTCCTTCCGGCCCTTCTTGTGCATGGGCGTCACATTTGCTAACCTCCAGTCAACTGGGACCTCCCCGGTCAGCCAGGACTGCTGATAAATGATGGAAAGTGGCTTGGTGAGCACATCCACCAGCTCCCTCAGTCCCCTTGGGTGGATCCCATCCGGCCCCATAGACCTGTGTGTGTCTAAGTGGTGGAGCAGGTCGCTAACCGTTTCCCCTTGGATTATGGGGGCTTCATTCTGCTCCCCGTCCCTCTCTTCCAGTTCAGGGGGCTGGATACCCAGGGAACTAAAGGACACTTAGGATTCACTAAAGGATTATATGTAATTCATTAAAGGATATTAATTTGGCCTGAGAACCCAGATCTGGAAGATCAGCCCTGACATTTTAGACAAATTAGGGATCACACCCAAATTTTAAAGGGAATGACTGGCCATGGCAACATACTGCTGCACGAAATGGTAAGTTCTGTGTTGCTTGACATTTTTGAAGCCATCTGGAAAGTCACGCTTTTGTCAGATGTGAGTTTTTCAGTTCACAGGGCTAGAAGGACTAAAGTTTTGGGTTTCTAAGTCTGTGACAAACTGGAGATTAAACTAGATCATCTGAAGTACGTTTTGGTCTTAAATGTCAAAGAGTCAGTAAAGTAGGAATTCTGAGTAGAGGTAATTCTGGATGGAGGTTCTGGTTCATTAAATCCTCCAGTTCGACAAGTACTTGAGCACATGACACTTGGTGTTGACAGATAAATGATCCAGGAAATGGTGACATGAGAAGTACAGGTAAGAAATGCCAAAGATGGGTTTATCTCTAAGGAAAGGCGAGCTGACATATCTAATGAAAACCATCTCAAGGCCAGATGTTTAAGAAGAGATTTTCTGTTTGAAAACCATGCTACTCAGAGCTGACGTGGGGGGCTTTCGGGCTGTACAGGAGTTTGTGATGTGAGTCAGTAAGTCAGTGTGACACTTCTCACAAAGCTTGGAGAAAAGGATTGAGCAGCCCTGCCTCCCCCAGCGCAGAGGCCAAACCTAGAACACAATGTCTGTTTCCAAATGCTCCTTGTCAAGCTCTGAATGTCTCAGTCTGAGATGCGACTTCCAAATTTTAGTTGTTACAATTCCAGTCAGTTGCTAGTCTACTGCTGCATTGGCTGCTGTGCCCTCCTTTTAGTGGAATAGTCTGTGTGCTTGTTTTTTAAAATTTAAAATGGCTTGTACGTTTTGCAGTAATCAATTGTCCAAAGGACAGCACATTCCTGTTGGACTGAAGCACTTATATGGCTGTAGTCCGTCTGTCTTCTCACATAGTCATTTTCTTGGATGGGAGTCATCCCCTTGGATTGTCCTCGTGCTTCCTTCTTCCATTGTACACACTGTTGAAACAATGAAAGGGGTTTTGATAGTTGCTTTATGAGACCAAAGATAGGAGCTTCTTCTCATTTTCTAGATTTCCCAGGCTGCAAATGCCATTTTTGTGGATTCATGCATCCTGGCTTTGTAGCACCATGTCTGTACAGCTACACTCTAGCTACAGCTCTACTAAGCAAGCCTGTTCTTGGTGCTGTTCTTCAGCCCCAAGGCCGCTTGGCCACATCCATACTACCAGATGCTTTTAGCCTTGAGACTGAGTGGCTGCATCCAGGCAGAGTGTTCGTGGTTTCTGCTCCATGCAAAATCTTGAAAAAAAGCCTGCAAATTGGTCAGGAGTGCACTGGTTGACCAAAACTGTGCCAAAGACCGTTACAGTGATTTAATAATGGTGCAGATGACTGTGTGTAGATGCTACGGTGCCTCTTCCTGGGCACTATTTAATTTACTAGTATTGACATGGCTATACCCTCTGACTCAAGGATAGACCTGTTTCCATTGCCTAGTCAGATCTGTGTTGTGAGATGTTACTCCCCTGAAGAGATTTCCTTGCTATACCTTCAAAACCTACGGGCTTGGTTTACTTTACTGTGATTCATGTATCTGAAAAAAGACTAAATGCAGCAATTGCAAAAGTTTTGTCACTCTGTGGCTCCTGTTGGGGATTTCTCTGTGCCAGTGCAGAAATGAAAATGAAGAGTGATCTTCAAAATTTGTGGAGAGAAATCCCTGGCCCTGGAAGGTCTAGCATAATCATGACAGCCATTGTCCCTCTTTTGGTTTTCATAGGGTCCTTGGAATTCTTACTTGACTTTCCTGAGGCTGCTCTCGCTTGTAGGGATTGTACATTAGCTCTGTGATGTCTCCTGGAGTTTGAGTGATCGAGGCTGCTGTTTGTCTGCTCTCGCTTGTACATTAGCTCTGTGATGTCTCCTGGAGTTTGAGTGATCTCTTCACCCTGCTCTCCTGCAGGAATTGTAATAAACCCTTGTCTCATAAGAAGATTCACAAGAAGGATGCAAAATGCCTTGATCTCTTTGCCAAGTTCTGTCTGCCCTCCATCTGCCATCCCTTCTTCTCAAGATCTTGAGTTCTGAAGGAGGTGATCTTGTCACTTGTATGCCATTTGGATCTGTAGTGAGGAGACTTAGGAAGGAAAAGAGATGAAGGGAGCATATTATGATTTTTTCAGTTCCATTGCTGGTCTTTGCAGCAAATACATGTTCATTGTTCTGGCACCTTGGGAAGTTTAGGAGTTAAAAATGCTTTTGATGAGCCACCATGATGATTGAGTTACATGAGAAGCCTGCCTTTGGAGGGGAAAAGGCTGTAGACTTATTTCTTTAAATGAAAGCTCAGTAGTAATTGGATGTGCTGCACTTTCCTTGTTAAGGCAGGCGATCTGTGACAACATTCCAGGTTCAAAAGTTACTAACTTCAGAAATCAAACTTCAGAAATGGGACTTCAGTCAAATCAACTTTGGTCCTACAGGTCACTAGAATTTCCGCTAGGTGTGTTTTTATCTTCTTTTTTTCAAGGTAGCAACAAGAAGTTAGGGCAACTTGAACTCTTCGTACTTAAGATTCAAAAGCGTTGAGATTCAGAAATCTCACGTCATAACTGGTTAAAACTTCTCCAGAAAAACTCGACCTCTGGCCTCTACCTAACAGTTTTGGAGTCTGGGATTTCTGTCAGGTGGATACTTAGCAATGGGCAAAATTGTGCCTGAAATCAAGTTGCAGCCTTAATTACTGAGCAACCACTGTCCCTCCGTAGCAGCGGTTTATCAAAAGCAAATGGGTACTAACCGCAAGGTTATTGTAGAAGGTGTAGGGAATGCTAGTAGAAGAGAGAAATGCTATTTGAGCACTTCAAAGAAAATAAGCCCTTCTGCTACATAGTGAGACTAGCATTCGTGGGAGGTTGCCTGCTGAGCTTGTTTGGAGGTGGTCTGTTGGGCTGCCAGCTCTGTCGTGTGTGTGACTTAAAGTTTTGGACCAGAATTGGTCTTTCCTGCATGTAAGGTACTTACAGCCAGTACCTGCATGTACCACAGAGAACTGTTGAACTGAAGTATTTGCTTTTACATTTTACTTTGTTTTTAGCCTGCTGGAAACCATGTCTCACTACACAGACGAACCAAGATTTACCATAGAGCAGATAGACCTGCTTCAGCGCCTGAGACGTACAGGAATGACCAGACATGAAATCCTCCACGCGCTGGAAACCTTGGATCGTCTTGATCAAGAGCATAGTGACAAATTTGGAAGAAGGTCTAGCTACGGAGGTGGTTCCTACAGCAACAGTACCAACAATGTCCCAGCATCTTCCTCTACAGCCACAGCTTCAACACAGACCCAGCATTCTGGGATGTCCCCATCACCGAGCAACAGTTACGACACCTCCCCACAGCCTTGCACTACTAATCAGAACGGGAGGGAGAGTAACGAGAGGTTGTCTGCATTCAACGGGAAGATGTCACCTACCCGCTACCCACTTGCAAACAGCTTGGCTCAAAGGTCATACAGTTTTGAAGCTTCTGAAGAGGACTTGGACATTGATGACAAAGTGGAGGAACTGATGAGGTTAGTAGAAGTCTTTGTAAAAAGTTTGGAAAGTCAGAGTGAGAAGTCCCTCAGAAGAAATCTGCATGTTGGAGGACTGCTGTAGTAGTGATAGGTATTATCAAAAAAGCAGGAACTGCATTAGACAGCTATTCCCCTGGCAGTTCCCTAATGGTCACTATCTCGGTACCTCTCACCTGCCTCTTAGTCTTGTGTAGACAACCCCTGGCCGTGTGTGGGTGTCCCACAGTCTGTTTTACTGATGAAATATTTTTTCCCATGCTGTATCAAAAATTGAAATTGATGTTAGCGCGCTAATTTTCCGCCCTACTCTTACTCAGAAGACTTCTGACTGAGTGTCAATTCACGTGACTCCTCCACTACTTCATACCAGTTGTATTTCCTTCCATATATAGGGGGAGCAGGGAATCTGCTTGGTTAATGCTTTCCACTGGGGTCTGCAGAGCATGTATGTTATCTGTTTATAGTTTGTGGCAGGGGCTGACACTCTCTGGGATTTGCACAGTCTGCAGATTGGCGTAGGAAAATACAAATAATAAAGAAGAAGCAGAAGTCTTCAGTGAGAGCCAGTTGGGTTTTTTTTTTTCCAGACTGACCTTCCTTTACTTTTAGCGGCTTCCTTTTCAGCATTGTGGCAAAGATGAAAGGAGGGGATTATACCACCTAGGATGAAAGTCAGAGTCAGTGGGCTTGATAGCAAAAAGAAAGAAGAGGAAAGGCCAAATGTCTCAAAACCATTTTGGTCATAATGTTGGAATGTCTTTTTTTCCCAAAGTTGCAACATTTATGAAGTGCCTATGAGAGAACTAGGGTCCATAAGCTCCAGGATGAAAATTTGTTTGAAGTAGTTTGGAGATTTAGGGTAAAGGTGTGGCTTTTGGGGGAGAGGATTAGGGATGAGCAGTAAGAAAAGCCGATCAACCTCATTTACTGTGAGCTGCAGGTTAACAGAATAATGCAGGAAGGTGGTGAGTATAGCAGTATGCAGGAGTTCCCATTGCTGAAGTTTAATCGTTCCTTTGAGTTTTGGGTTCCTGTGCAGTAAGTCTCAGGTAATGCTTTCAGTGCTTATTTAAACTGAAACTACTTTTATTTGCAGGCATATGGAAGATGAGTGTTGGGTACAGAAATAAAAACGAACGTACAACGTAGCATTTATTTTGCATTTACGTTTGCAAGCTTGAATCTGCCTTGAATGCTGCTGGGGCAGGAGGGGAGAAGGGGAAGGGAAATTATCAAATAATAAAGCCTAATAAAGTCAGGTTTTAATTGTCTGCCCTTCTCGGGAAGGGAGGGAAGAAGAGGAGGAAAAAGGATGTGTTTACTGCAATTGAAATTTGCTGCATATCACAGTCCCTGTGCAACCTCCAAATTATTTTCTTTTTAGCACAGTTTTAGTCCCTTCTGAACTATCTTTGCACACCTTATAAAAATCATACAAAGGCTTTAAATAACTGGCACTTGTTCATTCAGTGCAAGCTGTCGACTGAGGAAGTAGGGGTGGGGGGACAGAGGTTGCCAAATCTTTTCTTCTTTGGGTCTTTTCCTTGAAAGGTTGGAGAAGGTTTGTGTATGTATATTCATTTGTGTAGCTAACCGTGCAGACCCTGCTATCCTTTATTTTTTATTTTTGTGCCTCATTTTTATGACTGAGGTTTTTATGCTGGTATGAGAGATTTATTCATCCCTGTGTAATGAAACTTTGTACATTCCATATGGCAGTGCTGCACCTAATATGAATTATATAGGACATGAGTCATCCATTCTCCTGCTAGGGTACTTTGATCAAACGTGACACTTGTTAAAAGAAGTGTCCACCGGTGAGGCACTTTGACTATTTTAATGCCTGCCTTCCCCACTCCTTGTCCCCTAAATAAAGGAAATAAAGCCATTTTGCATCTTCAAAGTGCACTTTGGTCTGTCCGTCTTTTTGTGTGTTCTTTTGTTTTTTTGTTTTGGTAGGAGGGACAGCAGTGTGATAAAGGAGGAAATCAAAGCCTTCCTAGCCAATCGGAGAATTTCCCAAGCAGTTGTTGCACAGGTAACAGGTAAGAGCTCGGGGAGTCCTTTCTTCATTTTGGGAAACTGTGTCTAACTGCCTATCTGTGCACGGTGCAGATGTTGGAATATTGCTTGGCTTTCTGCATTGCAGTGCAGATCTGTCAGCTTAGTCATGATAATGTATGCCTTTGATTTAAGACCCATTGTCCCGCACATCATGGAACTTCCCCAGTGAATCACTTTTTCTTTTTTTCTTTTTTTGTGGCTTGTGCTAGCAGATTTTATTTTACAGCATTATAATAAGCTCGAAGTTCTTATCTTAAAATGAAAACGGTTTTCCTTAATTCTTAAATTGTTTGTTGAGTGCGGCAAATAGATGCATATCTGCATCTCTATGTATGGAGAGAGAGAGAGAGATAATATGTATTTATTTTATAAAATGTATATGAAGAGTCAGGAGATACAGCTATAGCTGGTATCACTACATCCGGGAGTCGGATGATGATAGTTTGAAGTTTTTCAATCATTTGCCTTTGAGTCACAATTAATGAAAATCAGATGTGAGGTTCAGGGGATTAGCTCAGGTTTTACCTAGAAGGAGAAGTAGTTCTCTTTTTGCCCTCTGCCCTGCGTCTTCTCTCTTTCACATTCAGGACAAGTGAACAGACTGCAGTGATATCACTTCTTCCTTGGGTGTGTTTCCAGAGCTTTACACAAAGAGTAATGAAGTCTTACTGCTCCTCCATGGGGTGGGGTGCTATTAGTTCTCCTTTACAGGTTCACGCTGCTTGTCTGGAACAGCGTAGCTGGTAGCGTACTTAGAATCACAGAATCATAGAATCATTTAGGTTGGAAAAGACCTCTAAGATCATCAAGTCCAACCGTTAACCCAACACTGCCAAGTCCACCACTAAACCATGTCCCTAAGCACCACATCTACACATCTTTTAAACACCTCCAGGGATGGTGACTCAACCCCTTCCCTGGGCAGCCTGGTCCAATGCTTGACAACCCTTTCAGTGAAGAAATTTTTCCTAATATCCAATCTAAACCTCCCCTGGTGCAACTTGAGGCCATTTCCTCTCGTCCTATCTCTTGTTCCTTAGGAGAAGAGACCGACCCCCACCTCGCTACAACCTCCTTTCAGGTGGTTGTAGAGAGCGATGAGGTCTCCCCTCAGCCTCCTTTTCTCCAGGCTAAACAACCCCAGTTCCCTCAGCCGTCCCTCATCAGACTTGTGCTCTAGACCCCTCACCAGCCTCGTTGCCCTTCTTTGGACACGCTCCAGCCCCTCAATGTCTTAGGATGAAGACCTGATGATGAAATACAGATAGCTCAATCCCATGTTATGCCTATAACTTTTATTCATTTTTTAACCCAAACTTGAATAAAGATCTTGAAATAGATCATTTTTAAGGTTCCTTGATGACTAGGAATGCCAAGCCAGCAGGAGGGAAGTTGTTCTTTTATGATATTTCCAGTATCTGAAATGTCATAGGAACCCATCTGTCTGGGAGATCTGGGTTTGCAGACATGCTAGCAGTTGAGGTAGGCAGGCAGAAACGGGTGCTTGAGCCATGGAGCCAGGAATTCCTTCCACGTCTCCAACTCTTCTCTGTGATCTTGGGCAAAATCACTTGTCCTTCCCTGGTTTCAATTTCATCTGTAAAATCGTGAGACTAACATTTTGTGTAACACTAAGGAATGTTATTAGCCTTATCAGATGTTAGCACTGGTACTTAAAAAATTAAATCCTAAGTCTAGTTGCTTAAATTGTACCTGAACTCTGAAGTTTTGGTAGTTAGTGGGTCACTCCCCTACTTTTGTGCAGTCCTTGCCTGAATATAATCCTGGAATAACCCATCTCTGAATTAACCTCTGTATCTACCAGCAAGTCAAAACTAGCTTCCCCTTCAAGAGAAGTAATGCAAAAAGGAAACAACTGCAGAAAAAGAGTCTTTCCAAAACAAGCCAGCATTTTTCTTTGGTCAGTGGGACTACTGCATGCAGGGCTGTTGAATCAGAATCACCACACCAAATCTAAGACAGAGTCTGTATCAGTAAAAGGAGCTGATCTAATTATAATTAGCTAGGTGTCTCGGTGCATGTCTTGATACCCCTGCAGGCAGACTGTAGGAAAGTCAAGACCAGTCTCTTCACACCTGATCATTTTGCTCCTTCCATCCTCAACCTACTGGATTTCAGTTGTTAAAGCCATTAAATTGGCATTTAGCCTTTGGGAGCTTTCACTGTTTGCCAGGCTGTTCCTCCTGTGGGTAAACGACACCATCCACTTCATACAGAGTTGACTAAGTTTCACACCCATCCCACTCAACCCTCCTGCGTAACATGGGGGGGATCCAGAACGTACTCACACAGTGATCAGAGAAAATATTACTAGATGTCCCTTTCGAGCCTGTCAGTGGGACAGAAAAAGACTGAACTAATGGCACCGTGTTTATCTTGTTTTCAAGCCAAATCAATGGGAAACCAGGTAGATCTAAAGGTTAAATGGCTACGTCCTTTTGCAGCTGACCCAGTAGTGTTTCCACGGACCTTTCAAATAAGAAAAGAAAGCGATATTTTGCGTGTGATGCAGTTTCTCAAGCAGAGATAGCTGCAGGGCTTGCGCTGTGCTGTGACGCACCAGTCTCTTCCTCCCACTACACTTTGCAGTTGAACTGTGTCATCCTCCATATGCTTGGTGGGAAGGTCTACGGGAGCTGATTCATTTTAAATATAACCCATAGCCTTGTGTAAGCAGATGCGTAGTACTTATGTGCCACTATTAAGTACATAGTTATGGCTTATCTGAAAGAAACAGTAAATCTCAAAGAGATGTTTGAAGGGACCAGATTAAAGAGCGTGCTCAGCACTACTGGGAGAAACATTAGCTTCCTTTCAAAAGCGCAGTACAGTGAAGAGTGACTGAAAATAGCTCGGGACAGAGACCCAGAGCAGAAAGCATGTGTTCCAGGGCTCGCACTTCCAGAGTTGTCTTAGGTCTGATGAGTGCCAGTTGACTTGTGTGTTCTTCACGTGTATCCAACATTCCTTCCTATTCAGCTGTGAAACAGGCTCCCAAGGAAGGCCTGGAAACCACTCTTGGTTCATTAAAAAAGCAGTTTGTATAGACAGAGGTAATACTTTGCAGAATATATGATCCCAAATGGTATCATCTCAGTATTTACAGGCTTAGTCTTACTGGTAAAGCTGCTCTGTAAATCATTCAGTAAACAAGAGGAAAAACAGATAAATAAAATCCAAAGAGTGGTCAATAGCAGATGGTGTAGGGGAGGACTATGAGAGTGAATTCAGTATTTTCAGAATACTGTTCAGCCTCCAGTGATCCGTGTCTCAGGGTCCTCTATTATATTGCACATCGAGGTGGAACCCTGTTCTGGCCAACGAAGGAGCTGTGAAAGAGCGTGAAAGGGGGCAATTCTGCACTAGCAGATCAGCAACCCACAGAGGCTGGTGTGCTTACAGCCTCCATCACCGTTTGTTGTAATACAAACATAGCAAGCTGTTTCTGGAGGCTGCAGTGCAGATGTTGGGCATATTTGATTTGCCCATCCACTGGCTACCACCCTGCCTCAGCTGGAAGTCATTTGTTTAGCACTTGAAATAAATGCAGAGTAGTGTGGCCTCGGCTTTTAGTGTTCATGTCTTCTGCCCTGGGAAGAGGGGCAAGAAAGAAATGAAATGAAAAATTTATGGCTGGCTCTGTCCAGAAGGAGAGTTGTTTGGCTGGGCTACCCATGCTGCCAACTTTCTCCTTTCAATGTCCATCAATTTCTTTACTACTCTAAAAAATTGTGTGTGTGTGTATGTGTGTGTGCGTAATGGGAGGGGAAAATAGCATAGACAGGGGAAAGGAGTAATAGTGCATCTGAACAGAGCGATAGTAGACCTTTAGCTAGGAACCTAAAACTTTGCTTCCTTTTCTTAATTACGGCTGGATTTGAAGTTGGCCAAATAGAACATATAAGCGATGAACTTTAGCTAAACCAATGTATTTGCATGTCTTCAAATTGCAGGTCTTGGATTAGCTCATCAGAGAGTGTAAAGTTTCCCCTGTGCTTACGACCGTCTTTGTCCCCGTTCTGTATGTTGTCGTGTTCTGTCCTTGGTGCAGGAACCTCTACTGCAACTTCTGCCCCTTGAAACTTCCATTTTACCTTATTTCGCTAATTCTTCAAGCCACTTCGGATTTAATTCAAAAATGTCTTTCTCCTTTTTCTCATCTTAATTCTAATATTGCAGTGCACTTATAGAATACACATTCCTACATCAGCCACAATCTTACAAAGCACGCTGAGCAGCCTTGTATTTACAGACTCTGCAACAGTAAATGGCTTTTCCTTTTGTTTTTCCTCTGCTGCAGCGCAAGGGGATGGGAAGTGATGGAGAGGGAGGATACGTGAGAGAGGAACAGGGAGCTGAAGGTTAAAGTCAGCTGTTGCAGTAGAACAATTTTTTAGGCTCTCTTAGTCTTTATAACATTACCAGAAACTTTAAAAGTCATTTAGATAATGAATCTGACAGGGAAAATTAAACCTGGAAGACATTCTACAGGGCTTGCCTTGAGTACTGAGAGAAGAGGGCAGATTGGAAAATAGTGACAGAGTATTAAATGGTGACTTGAAAATAAAGGAATGATTGATAAGAAGCAAAAACCTAGCATAACACTTATTAGTGCTGGTCCTAAATACAGAAGCTGCTTTTTATAGAAACTTTTTTAATGGTGTCTGTAATAAGATAAACAAGAAGCACTTGGGTTGGGCTCTGTATAAATAATCTCCTACTGATAAGAAAAATGACAGTATAAACAGGAGCTAATAATAGTTCCTGCTGAATTTCCTATCTTGTTATTTGAAGCTCCTTTTAACATAGCTGCAGCTTACTCGGGGGTAGGTATTTAGCCCTACATGTGGCAGGTGAGATGCCAAATTTTTATCAACAGTAATTTGAAGTCATGTGCTGCAATTTGCTTTAATTGCCACCAGAATTGTATCTGGGTACCAAGTAAGTTATGGTCAGAAGGCAACTGACAGAGAGAGAAATGTAAGCTTCCTAAGAGATGCTGTCTCTTAGCTTCCAAATGTAGATGGAGGGCGGGGGAAATGTTTTCAGAAACTCACATCTTTCTGTTAGGTACTACAGTAAAGGAGAGGGAGGAGTATACATAGATGAGCCCTTTGCAGCCAAGCTAAATGCTTTGATGGATGATGCCTCTGCGAGGTTTGGAAATACTACCTTTTCCATTTTTTTTTTTTTTTACACATAAGGAGTGAAAGAACAAAAAACCCTTACTTTCCTGAGGTCACAGTGGAAGCAGTCTGTGGCAAAGCAGGAATTTGAATTCAGATTTCTCAGTTCTTAGGCTAGTACCATAAAAACTAAACCACCATTAAAAAAAATAATCAACGGCAATAAAATGCAGAGGTCTTTTTTTAAAAAAACCCACCACATAATAAATAGAGCTTTCCAGTGTGCAGTTCTGCTAACCTTCCCAATTATTCTGCTTGTACAATTCAGCCCTGTCCTACTGTCTCTGTCTTGATTGATGTGAGATCTTCAGGACTTAGCTTTATATTATGCTAAACACACACAACATCTAGTGCAGTGGAGGGCAGCCTTGAAGCACTGCTGTGACTTAAATAAAATCCCTTAAGGTTTGGAAGCTACACAGAGGGATGCTGAGCAAATGCAAATACAAACAAAGTGAAACTTAACTAGTTCCGTTGTGAAGAGAATTCAGAAAATTACTGAATTACTGATCATCTGAAATGGCAAGAAACTGGATTTTGAGAAACATTTTCCTTCCTTTTTTTTTTTTAATACTCATGACAACAGAGGGAAAGATTTGTTTTCCTATGATTTTGATCTTTGCAGGTTTTCTGTAAACAAGCTTTGCTAATCTCCTAAATTGATAGGTGTCCTTTGCAAGCACGTATTATATGCATCTAGGACTTTGCTTACAAACTGAAGAATTAAAACACAGACAGTTACTTTCTTCTCCAAATCTGATGTATTCCAGGTGCTTCTAAAAATCTCTCCTGAAAGAAACATTAAAGAAATGCAAAATAGAGTCACTGAACAAATCTATCTGTGAAGGTGAAAACCAGTTACCAAAGACTTGATGAATAGCAGTTTTGAGGGTTATGAGCAGATTTGTAGTGCAGATACCGGTTGCCTTCTCTGTTGATGCATTTTATCATTTCTTTTATGTATTTGAAAGGGAAAATTTTTCCCCAAATAATTTATGTAGGAGAGAATGGGGCTGGACAGAAGAGCATGAATGTACTGTCATCTCCATTTTGTTTATAATTATGAATTGTAACCTGCTGTGGGAAGGAGTGACAAGTGGCACAAGAAGTCAACATTAATCCTTTGTGATTACCACTTCTCTCTTCAGTATTTTCTGTGAGAAAACTAGTTGCACTCATTACCATGCATTCATGTCCCTGCTGATGCTGAGCCCAGAGGATGGCAGTCTTCCTTGAGGTCCGTGGTTCAGTCTGAGAGTGAATTTCCTCAAGACCGCTGGATTTTCAGTACTCCAGAGAACTTACTTCATTAATCTGCTTCTGGCAGCAGGATGATTTCTTTATTCCTGCCAGTGCAATTTCCTAAAGTAGCATGATTACAGACAATGTGACAGGATGGTACTGGTGGTGGTACTAGTCATTGTCCCTGTGAGCCAACTGCATAAAACCCACTTGAGATGCAAGAAACCCTGATGTGACAATTTGGGGTTTTTTTTAATTGAAAGGGGTGAAGGATGGGTTTGTGATTAAGACACTGTACTGGGATCTAGGAGATCCTGGATCAGTTCTTCTGCTACGGACTTTGCATGTGACCTCGAATCAGTCAAGCTGTTGGAATATACAGTTTTGGGGCCTCTAAACTGAACTGATGTACAGATGAAAGATATTTTATATCTTAAAAACAAAAAGAGGAGGAGTGGTATAGGTAGAGGAAACCTTTAAGAAGCTCAGCTCTCACCACAGATCTCTGAAACAAGGAAAGAGAATAATAAAAACCAGAAAAGAATGATAGGAAATGGGACTTAAAGGGTCTTCTAAAGCTCATCCGCTAAATTCCTATGACCATAAGCAAGATCAGCTGCCTGAGCTGTACCTGACACGTTATCTGGGTTTGCGGCATTGCTATAGAAGTTTGCTAGCTAAAGAGCAAAATATAGGTGTGGGCTTTTTGCTAATGCAAAAAATGCTATGGACTGCAGTGCTATTCATGAGATGCTGTAGTCAAATAATAACGTACTGAGAATTTATAGTGCGTTTGTTGAATCTATACATCTCAATGTCCTTTACAAAATTCCATTTTGCAGAAGTGACTTTACAAACTGCGAGGACTCGCAATGAGTCAAATGTGGACATGGCAATACACAGCTTGAATCTTTTGGCTCCTTTGCTTTGTCTCGAGCACATTGTCTGAAGTGGCTAACATCTGTACCACTTTATGACAGTATCAGGCAGCCTCTTGAGCAGAATTTGGATTTTCCACTACATGACTCTTGTTGAAGATACTTAATCTCTATTTATAATTTTTATCTAATAATGCTTTGCATTTATATCTTACATTGTTGTCCAAACACTCAACAGACACTAATTCACTGCAATAAGTGTAAGCAGACTGTAGTAAACAAGTAAATTAATGGTCCTGTTATCCACTGACTAATAGGAGCCATGCAACCAAAAGCAGTGAGACACAAACATTTGTGTCCCATAGCACTGTGTTAAAGAAATGGTTTTTATAAATCATAATAGCAGGTAAAGAGCTGCAAATTTTCAAAACTTGGTCTTCTCACTGGCGATCAGGCATCTAGATTGCATGATTTCTGAAGCCTTCTTTTGGGCTGGAGAGTTTTATTGACTTAATATTGACTTCTTCTGGTATTAACTCGTATGCTTCCACAGTTACTTGACGTAAACTTGGCAGAATCTAAGGTTTGTGTTTGGTTGAATAATTCCACTTCCCTAGTAGTGTAAACTCAATTATATATCCCAATGTGGGCCCTGGGTGTAGTCAACTGTTGACTGCCCCAGCTGTTTCTGAGCTCTTTCAGTTGTGGGGCAAAGGCAGTCTCTGGGAATGGGTGTTAAGAAGATCAATAGATGTACGGGAAACAAAACCAAACCAGGGTATGTTTTGTGGGCAGACCTCTGCTGAATAGCAGTAAGCTTCTGTACTCGAAACAAAACACACCTCTCCCTTTTCCCCAGGACAATTAAAACTTCGTAGGCTCCGGAATTCTGTATAAGGAAGAACAGTTAAGAGCATAAACCCCGTGATTTTAAGAATCTGGTTGGAGTAAACCCACCTGAATATGACACCTGAGAGTCAAGTTTAATCGTTCTAAAGTTAACTAGTTTCTATGTTCAATGCAAAAAAAGCATAGTAAAACCCCCTCTATTAGAAGTGGTAAAACTACAGGGGGTTGTTTTTCATGAGTTAAATATGATTATGAGATCTTATAAAACCTTGACTCATCTCAAGAGGGGAGAGGTAGTTTGGTTTCTGTGTGAAAACCAGCATTCTACCTGCCTCAGTGTTATCACCAAGCAGGTGGTGGCACAGGTGGTGTTCAGCAGTATATTGTTACTTGGAGCACTTCCTAAAACTTTAGTTCTCAGGGGAGTTTAGATGTTGTTAACCCTTTCTGATAGCTGAAGAGCCTTGTGGAAAGCACAGGGAGTCCTCCTACCTGAAGTACTGCTTCAGTTATTCAGCAAACTATGAATTTTTTTATATTTTCAAATGAACCTACAGTTCACCTCCTAGTGCACTTTTAAACGTCTTGCTTTATTTGGTTCCTCTCCTTCGAATCACTTCTTTTCCCTTTCTGCGTTGATCCTTCATTCAATGTCACGCTTTGGAAATAACTGTATGGGTTTTTCCCCCTTTACTGTTTTCTTAGAAGTCTTGCTTTAAAAACTCTGGAACTTTTTGTCCCTAATCTTGCCTGGATACCTAGAGCTTGAATCCTGCTTTGCTGACAGACAGCTGCCCTTTCTGTTTTGTTTTCTGGCTGATGTTATAGCTGCTGATAGTTGGCTTGCTCCATTTCTGGGCTCATTTGATCTATATCACATAAACTGTTTCTATGTTTATCTCCCTTCTTATTCAAGCATTGAATGATAGCGATCTCCTAACTATCGTTATTTATATATAATAGTGGGTAAGGGACTTGTTCCCATTTCACAGATGAAGAAGTTTAAGAATCAGGGAAGTCGTGGACAATTCAAAGCAGTGGTAGATTTGGCTTCCCAGTTTGTACCCTCTTTGTTTGTAGGCTGATTGTGCTGATTCCAGGATGTACCTTGAGTAAGGTTGAAAATAACAACAGGGAGAAGTTAAAGCAGTTAAGGACGGGGCGGGGAAGCTTGAACTGTCTACTTTTTCTGTGATTGAAACATTATGAGTTCCTGGGCTTTGTAAGACCACACCTTTTATCAGTATATAAACCACTTTAAAATGTTTTAAAAAGAACAAGTTTTCTCTTCCTCTCTCTCCTTTTTTTTGTTTTGTTTTGTTCTGGTTTTTTACAGGTATCAGTCAGAGCCGGATCTCCCATTGGCTGTTGCAGCAGGGGTCGGACCTGAGTGAGCAAAAGAAAAGGGCATTTTACAGATGGTACCAGCTTGAGAAGACAAATCCTGGTAAACAAATACAGTCTAAACATCTCCTGCTGTTTTATTTATGGAAAAGAAGCCTTTTGTCACTGGTTTTTACTATCACTGATCATTCACTTCTTGCTCTGGTGTACTGAAGAGGTATTCCCTCTGACCAGTCTACTTTTTAGGAGGGTAGGAACAAATCTATGCTTTGCTTTGCAGCAAATGATCCAGAGCTGACTCATCCATAGCTGTCTGTCCAGCTTCTCGGTCACGGTTACTTGCCCTGTCCTCTCACCGCTAGCTAACTCTGGGAATCGGAAGGAGTCAGTGAAGCTGTAGTCAGCTAACATGAAATGTATGCTGAGGCTCTTAAGAATGAACAAATAGAAAACATTAATAATGGCTGTGTAATATAAAGTTGCAGAAAAAAACCCTGCATTTCAGCAGAGAGGAACTTTAGGATAACTTCAGAGGGTTTGGGGTTGGATCTCAAGCTCATGGATGGGATGTTGATAGTTACAGTGATAAGTTGGAGATGTCTCTCTCAAATCCCACCTGCTTCTCCAAATCTCAAAATAGATCTTAAATATAAAAAGAGAAGTAAAGCTCCTCATTATCTTTAACTAACCAGCAATCTTCAAAATCACAGTTGAATTAATTTCCTTGTATTGTTCTTCTCCATAGATTTTGTTTGACCACAGTTCTTATTTTTTCCTGTAGTGGTTTTGTTGTTAAGATCAAAATATTTACATTTAATTTCCTTTAAACAATGGCATGATTAAATTAACTCTGTAATTGTTTTAAGGAATTTAAGACTCAGGCTCTCTAATGTGAACTTGGCTTCAGTATCTAGAATTCGATTAAGAAAAATTCCAGTGAAAACAAATCCTCAAAACTTCTGCTTTGTGTGTAAGCTGAAAATCAAGAGGCTCCAGCTGTCAGTTGGCCTGAGAATACTTCAGCTTAAAGTTGGGTGGGTTCAAAGTGACAGCCGAGCCTGTCCCTTCTGTTAAGCATCTAGAAAATTGCTTTAAAGAATGAAAGTGCCAAGGGTTGTGACGTGCTGACAAGCTGCAGGGTTCACTGAGAAGCCTTGGTTGTGCAGTGGCTGGAATTGTGATACTAAGGACCAGCAAAGTTACTGGATACAACCGTTCGGCATCAGCTGCTTTGAAAGCCTCAAGTTGTACCTTACGAAGTAATTCTCAGCCATTTCCCTTTGATGGAAGGTATTGCCTCCAAAACAGCGGAGAGAACTAGAGGTTTTTTGGAAGGTGTATTCTGGAAAAAACCCCAGAAGTCCTCTCCTAACGATGAAAACTGCTGTGTGGATCCTTCCTATAGCCTTGGATCTTTTCTTTCCAATATCATGGGGAGTTGTTTAAGAAATAGTATTCTGTGCTGGGATAAGAGAAGCCTTGTCAAACTTAGCACTAAAATCTTTACTTCTTCCTCGTAACCTTCTCTCTTTCCCCATATCCACAAGCTCACATCTTGTTTGTCCTTTCGCTCTTGAGAAATGTCGAAGGAAGGAAGACTAGCAACACTGAAGGTTACGGCTTAAACTGAAATGAATCGACATTAACCTCTACTTTTCCGACGCACTGTCTTGCTGAGGTCTTGTTCACTTTTCTTTATTCACACGTGGAAAAATTTCTTGAAGAGTGGTTGTTTGAGTTTAACCTTTTTTCAAATAAGAGATCTTATACAGCATTTTTAAGAAGTGTAAAAAGCAAAATGGCTCCTCTGCCTATGCCAAGGGACTACTTGGATGTACTTAAATTCCCTTTAGGACCAAATAACATTTGGTTTCTTTTTAGAGGCTGAGGTAAAGGGGGGAACCCTCAGTTTTCCCATAGCTGTTGGAAAAGTCTACTTCAGGAAAACGGTTGTGTTATTTATCGTAGGATAATCCACTGCTTTGAATTATTGCCATCTACTATACTGCAGGTCAGACTGGCTAGCCAAGAGATAATTAACATGCATATGTGCGAGTGTATACAGTGTATTAAGGAAGGTACCAACCTTGTCCAAAGCATCCTGGATTTAAATCACTGTTATAAAACCAATTTGGAGCCTAAGTTTTGGATGCTACTTACAGTATCCTGTGATTAGTAGACTGGACTAGCCATTCTGCTGCCTTCTTTAGAGTCAGAAAATGAGGAAATCAGTAGAGCCTCCTGCCACGGTCACAAAGAAGCGATGCCGTCACTGCACTCTCTGTAGAGTGTAAAAGATTGTCCTCCTTTGAAGAAACGTAAGAGATTAAATGACTAGCATGTGCTTTTTCTATTCGCTCGCTCACTAGGAAGTGACATTTGGCTTTCGATTCTCATATATCCCATCTTTTCCAATTCCAGCTGCTGGGAATAAAATCTCAATCCTTCTCCTTTGAGTGATAGAGTCAGGTGTCTCTGCGCAGAAGCACCTACGCGTTTGAGTTACCTACCAATGGGCAAAGGGAGGTCTTCGGGAACTTTTAGTTCCCCCATTGCCTTAGTTCCTTATTTTGGAAAACTGGATCTTCAGAGTAAGTCCACTTTCTGACTGAATTTGTGTAGTAATAGAAAGAAAACTTTCGCTTAAAATTGAAACAGTTTTGAAGGACTAGGACACCAGTTATAATCAATTTGTGAACTGTAAAGAAAGAATAGTTGTTTCGTGAGGAAAGGACTGGAGATCACATGGCAGACTGTAGTCTTTCCTTGGCTCTGCTAGTTTTTCTGTACAACTCTTAGCAAATTATTTCACCTTTGCACCTCACTTTCCCGTCACCTAGATAAAGATGAGACCATTAACCTGTGTATGACTTGCCTGCCTTGCCTGTAAGGTCCTAACAGCAGGGACTGTCTTTTGCTATGCTTATATACTGCACCCAGCCAGGAGTTTCTAATAATAAAGGGGACAAAAGATGACTCATAAATGCATCAAAAAAGATTTTATTTTTCTATTTTCAAATGTATAATGGTGCTATATAACACTTCAAATCATCCACAAGCAGTCCTGCATCTGCTAACCAAAGAACTTCACGTTGTGGAGCCTTAGGGCAGTTTTGAGGCGTTGCTGCTGTTGCGACGTTGCTAGGTGTTGCTCCTATACAGAAGAGACTCAGCAATTCCATCACGTTCGTTATTTGCCAGCTTGCTTTGGTCTCTTGAATATGCTGTTTGTTGTTCGCTTGGTTTTGATTGCTTATTTGCGTGCGTACTTTCGATATTCCTCCTATATTTGGTGGCGGGTGTTCAGGCAACAGCAGGCTGGAACATTGCAAAAAAGACTTCAGTCTCATGGATCCGAAAAAAACCCCACTTTTCCTACTGTGTGCAATGATCTTGCTCAAACATTTCTCAATCAGTGTTTTCCTGGTAGGAGTGATGTTGGAGTTAACAGCAATGCTGCGAATTCCAGTGTACTAGTGATTGTCAATTTTTCTGGAAACAGTTGCCAATTAGGATGAAAGGCAGTTTTTTGTTGAAGGGAAGAAGTCAGTGCTAAATGCTCGTACCCACTTTTCCTACTGTATGCAATGATCTTGCTCAAACATTTCTCAATCAGTGTTTTCCTGGTAGGAGTGATGTTGGAGTTAACAGCAATGCTGCGAATTCCAGTGTACTAGTGATTGTCAATTTTTCTGGAAACAGTTGCCAATTAGGATGAAAGGCAGTTTTTTGTTGAAGGGAAGAAGTCAGTGCTAAATGCTCGTGTTTGAAAGGTCTTTAATCCAATTAATAGGGATGCTTTTCATTGAGATCAGGCTTTTTTTGGACAGGCACCACATCTCTTGTGTTCTGTAGAGGACTGAGAGCATTTTGGCAGTAGATAAATAGTATATGTTTCAGAAGCCAGTATATGAGTGCATGGAGTCCTATAATGTACTGATTATTTTTTTCAGAGCCCATGGGTTTTAAATAAATAGTTTTAAATAATAAATAAATATTTCTTTTTACATTGGTAGTTGTTAGCCTGATTAGTTTGGCTGGCACCGGGTCTTGGGCAATGCGGAAGGTTTGTTACGCAGTAACTTTAGCATGTCTTTTGCCACTTATGTATTGCAAACTGAAGCTGGCACCTAGAAATGATGCGCTGAAGTTACAGATGGATACAGGCTGCTTCTGTTTAGGCTGGATATTTATTTCTGCCAGTCTTCTGTAATAGGAAGGCAGCTGTGGTCACCTTGGAGAAAACCATATGCTCTTCCTCCTTGAACAAAAGGGAAAAAGAAAGGTAGTTATTATCAAGATGTAGCATCTCTTGTGTTATTCCCACAGCAGTTCTTGTTTAGCTATAAAAGAAAACCCTACCAAAAAAAAAAAAAAAACGGGCTGGATATCCCACGAGATTTGCACTGGAAACGTATTGTTGGTGATTTACTGTTTTACAGAGCTGCAGAGAAAATAGTCCCTGCTCTGATCCTTTCCATCCAAGCAATGAGCTCTGTAGGGAACCTTTTGCTGTGCAGGCTGCTGATTCAAATCTAGCCTGTCTCAGTAGTAACTGAAAGGTGTTTATCATGTGATCTCAGGTCAGTCTGGCTAAAAATAAAGTGTGACATCTGTTCTTATCAGTGTAATATATGATAGGTACTCGCTGCAAAGGCTTGCTACTAAATGGTTTTTTGGAGCTGGGAGATGGTCTGAGGCTTGCTCCAACCATTCTGCGCGTCGCCCCTGAATGGCAGGGCCTCTCTGAGACACGTGGTGTGGATCAGCAGTTGCATGTGACGCTTTTAAGAGCAACGCTCTTTCTTCAGAATAGCGTCTGGGATGTGCTGAGAGAAGGCAGGCCTTTGCCATGAGGAATTTTGAGAACAGAGGTAGAGCTGCATTCCAGTTGGAGAGCACCGCTCTTGCCTCCTCTCCCCAAAACCCACCTGCAGCATCCCCAAAGTCATACCCCGCATTTGAGAAAATACTGGCTTGCACGAAGAAAATTCCATATTGTTGCAAAAGGTACCCGGCACTGGCAGGTAGTGAGAGATGTAGCTTTTCATTTTTCTCTGCGAAAGGAATTCTCCCCAGACGGTTCACCTCTATACCCCTTAGAGATGTCTTGCTTTTTGATGCATATACTAAGATGAAAATCTCATACTGCATTTGCTCCGCTCATTCTGCTCAAGAGAGAAGTTTCACTCCTTCTTAAAAGCTGTTTGAGGGGTTTGTAAAAAGAATCTGGCCTAATAACTAGGATGTAACTTACTAAGTTGTAAAGAAGTGGAGCTGGGTGGTGAGAAGATTGCAACGAAGCGTTGGAACAGCAGAATAAACGGGATCCCCAAGTGCTCACTTAATTGAGGGGGATGAAGAAAAGCTCCATAGTTACCTTATCAAATGTGGCAGCAATGCCTATGTCCACCACTTTGCCACTCATACACAAATAAACTCATACATAAATGCCACTTGGGTAAGCGCATTTTGGGCCTCTGTATGCATTCAGATGCTTCCGTCTTTATGTGTGTGCAAAAACAGTGGTGGGTACTTGCTTGTAATTCTCAGCATACTTCTGTCTTATCTGTTGCTGATATTGATGTTACCCCATAGAAAAGAGAAATAGGTAGATTGATCTAGCAAGGCTACTAAAACAAAAAAAGCATCTTATATTCAGTGGGTGAATATATCAGTAGCAGGAGCAAATTTATGCTTTAAATGCAGATTTTTTTTTCAACCTTTGTCTGAAGAATCTCGGGCAAATTTAATGGAAGTACCCTGCGTCTCTTACCTTGATGTTAGGCATCACTGATATTCTTATACTCTCCCTGTGAAATGAAATCCTCAGGTAGGGAAAGTGTATTGCTAAGACAATGCGGGGAAAGCTAATTTCTTGTCCTGTTCTCCCCTGCCTCTTTTTAAAAATTGGGTTTTTTAAAGTTTTTTAGTTTTTGAAGAGTATTTAAAGCCTAGCACCTTGATACTGACCCAGACCCCTAAACCGTGCAAGTACTAGAAAGAGTAGATAAGGAACCTTCCTTGAAACGGCCTCCCAGTAAGTTGGCAACATAGGAAATGCTTCATGTGTCAGTAAAACTAAGTAATCTGTGTAGGCTCGTTAGCTGGGAATTAGTAAGAGTCACCGTCCGTTGTGCATGTAAGGCAGAGATTGTGGGCTTCCCTTCCTATAGACTTCTCCTGGGTAAAATTTTTAAATTACTTTGGGCTCCACTGCCTAACACGGATGCAAGCCCCTGGCAGTATGGAAAAAACTCATTGTGCATTTCTGGAAAGGAACACGCAGCCAAATGCATAAATAGCTAATTTCTTGCTTTTTAACTGTAGGAATTTGTTTATTGGTTAAACTCTAAGTTCCCTTAACCCTTTTACTCTGTTTTAAATTAAACAAGCAGTGTTGTTTCACTAACACAGTATGTTTATATGATTAAATCCTAACCATTCTGAGCAAGTCTGTGTACCCAGAGGGATTTGCTGTCTCAGCCCTGCTTTTACATGTGCACAACACTGTATTCCTCCCGTGAGCAGAGCGGCCTGCTTCTCTTGGATCTATCCAGGCCGGTTCAGTGCATGAATTCCAGTTGAGCTCAGGATGCATATGGGATATAGGTGGTGATTTATCTTTTCATACGACTGTGTTGGTTTTTGTTTTTTGCACACAAGAACAGCTATTTCTTCCCTCCAGGGGAAGTCACTGAGCACAAAACTGTCCTTCAGAACATACCCTGTTTTATGTACTAAAGTCCTATACCAGGTTCCCGTCCTCACCAAGGGATATATGAAAGATCGGTTTCCCAGTGTGTCTTGATTTATCTTGATTTATTAACTGAGGGGCTGTTGTGGAAAGGATCAGGGGTAAGTTTCAAAGGGCCTTTCCTGAGGGCATTGTGCCAAGTCCTGTCTCTTGCTTGATGCTTTCCAGCTCAGGCTTCTTGAAAGGAGAAATATATCCATAGAAGGGGGACAGAAGAGGAAAGGTGTGCTGTTAATCTGCTTTCAGTGACTTTTTCAGGCAACCTGGCACTCAGGAGCCCGTGTTTGCACAGGTCACAGGGTGTGTTTCTATCGGTGGAGCTATTTCAAGTGTTTACTCAGCTCTTCGGACACATCGAAATACCTTTGGTATAAATGTATGTTTTGCTTCCTGAGACTGTTGTACAATTAAATAGAAACCTACTATTTCCTGTTTCATGGCAGAAGAGGTAACAGCACAACCTAAATAGATCCCAGCTGAGGCATAGCTCACCCTTTCTGTAAGACACTTTTCCTCTTGATGAAGACAGGACAACTTTTCCTAAGTAGCTGTCGGCTCAGTTATGTCTCCCTTAGATTTCCATGGTCACCTGATACCTCTCTGGCTTGGAGGTTGGGGATGGGAACTCTAGCTGGCTTTGTGTATCTTTAAGGTGTCTTTGTTTGATAATGCCTTACTTTTTTAGTTTGAATGGTTTCATCACCTGTCTTGTCTTTTTTTCATGAGCAGGAGTGAGAAAATGGGCATGATTTTTAATCCACTAGGAAACACAGTGTTTATTATTCTTAGGGGCTACGTTAAGCATGAGACCCGCTCCTATCCCAATAGAAGAGCCAGAATGGAGACAGACGCCTCCCCCAGTCACAGCTACCTCTGGGACCTTCAGACTACGGCGAGGCAGTCGGTTCACATGGAGAAAGGAGTGCCTGGCTGTTATGGAAAGGTATGTCACTTTGGGGTTACGGAGATGGGCATTTTAAAGCCATTTTTGAAGCCAAGTATCCTTTTTGCTGTTCTGGTGAACATCAGCTTCATTTTCATGGATGTGTTTTAGCATCACGCAAGCCAATAACAGTGTAATCGTCTGATTCTAGACGATAGAGTAGGTGGAGCTATTTCACCCCTTCTGTTGTTTGAAAATATGTTATACTGCTTTGGACAATATCTCATTTTTTGTAGGCCCTAAGGCATCTTGTCTTAGCTCAGTCTGAGAGTGTTCAGCTCTTCCTTTTCTTTTGCAGAAACCTTTCCCTCTAGCCTAATCCAAGCTTGGTCTTGGGGGGGGTCTGCACACTCTTTACATTCTACATTTCTCTTTTCCCAATTTACTGATTTGTCCTCATAATGTATCATGTTATTTTCTAGTTGATACTGGCATTTCGGCAGCACTATAATTGTTCAGGATGCAGAACTTTGCCTAACAAGCAGTAGATTCCTTGTCCAAAAAGGCTCTTATAACCCTTTTACATGAACTGGGAACAGTACAGAGCAAAGTGGATCTTTCAAATACATATGCAGAGTGGCAGGTGATCATTAGAGCTCCCAGCTCTTCAGTCCCGCAGAGACGAAGCACTCTCTGAGCCTGGTCTGCTGGCTGCCTATGTGCTTTGCCTTTCCCTCTACTTAGAGTAATGTCTCTTTTGTGGATAATACTGTATAATAGAAAAGGGCTAGTGAACTCAAACGTGTTTTAGGGATGAATGCTTATTCCTGTTAAGGGCTAAATGGCTGGGAGGAGTTTTCTTCCCTCCGAGAGCATGAGGAACCTCCTTTCCACGAAAGCACCAGATGACTCCCTGTGTGTGCTACACTCCTCTCTGGTTTGCAACTCCATTGAGTCCTTGGCCAGCAGGTTTTTAGGATGTGCTTTTGCCCCTTCTGTAATGCTTCTCTTTCCTCTTGTTTGCACAAGGGTCTTTGGAACTGATTAGGAGTAGGAGAGTGTCTCCTTTTGCCTAAGCTAAGACCAAAATACCAGACTCCCTCAGGGACCCGAACCATTTTCCACACAGGATGGACATACTTTGTGGCCACAGGCCATCACGGGGCTTTGCAGAGCTGAGACCAGTAACTAAGTGTTTGTTTCCGTATTCTGTCCTGGAACTGCACTGATGTTTTCAGCTTTGGCTGAATGTTTCCCCAAAGGAAATAATGTAAATGTCTGAAATCTGTTCTGCTTTGCTGGACCCAACTAATGCGAAGTCCTGAAATCTGATAGTACAGGGGACTGTGTTTTTCTAGTGTCCCCCTCCATGCAGGCAGTACGATGTGCGGTGCAGGATCTTTAGCACTTTAAAATGCTTGTATGACTGTCCTGATTGCAGTATGTAGGATGACAAAAGTTTTATCTCTCTGTGCACCTTCACGACAGGACCATCTCCTTATTAACCCTCTGTGTGTGAAATATTTAGTTACTCTGAAGTAGAATTAGAGCTCTTTGGGCGCGGGTGTTTTCCTTCTTGGTTTCTGTTTGGCCTAAAGTGCAATAACTGCTATTATTTGCTGTTTGAATCATGATAGTGCCTTAGACTCCTTTGTGCTAGGTGCTGTGGAAACACAGAGCAGAAAGAGAAAGCTAAGCAAGCAAGCACTGCCCTTTCCTCTTTCAGATCTCTCCTAAAGCCAGTCTCTGCTGTGACACTCTCAAGAAGTCAGACAACCTGTAATGGTTTGGTATGTGTCTGTTAGAAAGGTGTGAGATTTGGTTTTGTGTATGGAAAGAAGCAAGTCGGTGTTGACATTGGAAATCATCCAGTTGTGTATGCAGATACATAATCACTTGGTCTAATTTTTCATTACCCTCTTTCTTCTTCTTTGTCATTCTTGGTTTTTTTCGCTGCGTCTTGTGCTCTGTAAGGTCTTTGCTGCTGGGGTTTTCTTCTTACTCTGCTGTTTAATGGACACTTCTGCCACATTGCCTTAATCCTGGCTTTAATATTAATTTGCAAAGCCCTTGCTAGGTCACCGTGAGCACTGAATTTCACAGCCTTATGTGGTACTGGAAAGCATGGCTGAGGAGTTTTACTTGAGGCAAGAACACAGTAAACTCGAGCCGTGGTAAAAGCTTTGTATGATAATAAAATTACACCATAAAGCAAGTTGGGAATATGGTTGTTTAACTGTTAAACTTTAATAGGCCTAGTTGAGCTGTAAGGATGAGCTGTTTTATGTGACAAGTTTTGAAAGAGTGGGAGGAGAACACTCTTTTGGGAGCCCTAGGAAGAAGCTAACTAATTTCCTTTACAAGTCGCCGGAGTCTTCCAGGCTTGTCTGTAATATGATTCATAACAGCAGCCAGGATGAAGGTAACCAGACTCCTGGCTGTCTGGCCCAAGCAGATCAGGATCACTTGATGCCATAGGGTCAGGAATAAGCATTTGGCCCACTAAAATGGTGTTTGGCGTTGCATGGGGTCTGGTGCCATTTATGTGGTAATTTGCATTTTCTTCCAAAGGATTAAGTTTTGACTGTGAGTGGAGGCATCTTACTCAGTTTAATGGACTGTTTTCCTTAATTAAATGCAAGTTTCATTGCATTGCGTTTGTATGTCCTGCAGCATCTTGATGCGCTGTTTGTGCACGCAGGGATTTAGGCACCTGGTTTTGAGCTTCTTGTTTGGGAACCTCAGTAAAGTGCTTGTTCATCTAGGCTTCTAGCTATTCAGCCATGAGGAGTAGAGATCCAGAAGACAATCCCATCCCACTGATGCAACTCATATGAGGGCTACATGCACCTTCCTCTCTGGCTGCAAAAGAGGAGCCTTCTGCAATTAGATCTAACTTTGGTGATTTAGTTAAATGCCTAAAGATAAGAGGGTTGAATCCAGGCCTTAATGGAAACTTGTGTAGGTAATGCAGAGCTACTTCTTCCTATAAACTTCTGAAACGTTGCTGCGAAGCTATATAAACATTTTTTTGGGTGAGGATCAAAGTCTTCGGCTGCTATATCAGTTAATTGTGGTGCGTGCTTTTGACTTGGATTCAGTTGGTAAGAAATGCAGTTGCTAAAATTCGATGTGTCAAACCAGCTGAGAGCACTTCAAGGAAAGAATCTGAATTTGATTGCAAAAATTAGGGAGATTTGCTTCTAGGAGCAGGCTCTCCAACTGAAAATGCACAGCACCAGTCAGGATTTGGCTCATGAATGAGGAGGGTGAGGGTTGAAGGGCTAGTTTCTCTTTTTTTAAAAGATTGAAATCAACAAAAACTCCAGTGCAATTAATTATTATATTGGTGCCAACCTGATATAATTAAGATTAGAGTTAGGGCCAGCACATATACTTAAATGCCTAATGTACATAACTGTCTGTATACAGGGTATGTGTATTAAAGAAACTAATTGGTTTATACTGGATTTCCAGAATGCTGCTTGCGGTTTCTGTAATTCAATTCTCCAGTCTTTACTGCTTTTTTGGAAATTCTCCCAGGGTAGTTTATTAGTCGCTAGGCTTAGATTTCGGACAATAGATTCAGGTCTCTTTCTCCCTCTCTCTCCTTTCTTTTTTTTTTTTTTTTTAAAATATCTCTCCGAATATTTATGCTCTGAAGGTTAAGAGGTGCAATAGTTCCAGAAAGTAAAGTTCTATATTTAACTGCAGACTAGGTGTGGTTCAGACAACTGCAGTGCAAGCTCCCTCTCGCTGCTGTGCTAGTGATGTCAACCTTGACCTGTTCTCTTCTTGAGCCTCCTGCTCATGAAATATGCTGAGTTTTGTGTGTGGTGATGTTGTCGTGTGGCTTACCCTCCTTTGGGAACAGAGCTAACACTACAGTAGTCCTTGCTGTGAAAACTTGAGGTTAAACTTGAAAGTCTGTTTCTGGTTCCGTTTTGTGTTCTTCGTTGCGTCTTGTCCCAAAGATAATTTTTTTTTTTTAATTATTTTCTCTGCTTTACTTCTTCTTTTCAACCCTACTCATTAGAACCACGACATTGAAAATTCCCTTAGGGTTTTCTCTTTTTTAACAAAGCTGTGTTGTCTTGTCTGTCTATTTTTTTTTTTTTTTTTTTTAAGTGATTGGTGCTTCTCCTCTAATCATATGTTGGAGTTGAGGTTTATCTTCTTTTTCAGGCAAAAAAACCATCTAAGATTGGCAGCAGAATCAACGACTGTATACACGTTTGTTGAGTGCCATTAAAGACTGGGGGGGGGGAGTTGAGTGTTGTTTTTTAAGTATATGCTTTATCCAAAGATTAAATTAAAATAACTGTAAATTCTGCTCTAAACAAAATGAATAATTCATCAGTTGAAAGTATTTCAGTTTGTCTAGGGAGCAGGGACTTTGCTTTCTGGTTGAAGGTTATTTGGTTTGATTTTATGGGTTTGGTTTTCTATTTTAACATTTGTCTGTGCTCTTGAAGCATCCTTTTGTAAAGATGTATTTAGATTAAATAAGACTAGATGATATAGATACCTATTATCCCCATTTCATAGATGGCAAAACAGAGTCAGGTGTTTCACTTGGCTTTGTGATCCAAGGCAACTTTATTCATAAGAGAAATGGGTTTAGATTTCCCAAGATACTGAGGGTATAGTTTCATGATATAGCTGAGCTGAATTAACGGTTTGTCAGCGTCTCATCCTTAGGTGTTATCCTGTCTCATCACCCTTCTCAATTCCTCCTCCTCAGTTTCCCTGCTCCTGCCACCCTGCATTGTGCCAGATATGTTTCTTGTCTGATTGAAATACCAGCCAATTCAGCTTGGTTCAGGAAAAAAGAAATCCTTTTTATTTCCCCCTGCATTTTATTGAATGGGTTCAGCTCGCTGTGCAAGGAGGGTGTGCCAGAACTGGCTCAGGGCAAATGACAGGCAAGCACAGGGAAGGGGAAGTTTAACAAAAAGATGTACAAATTTTGCATGGTGCTTTTTTGGTCTGCTTGGTTTTGTTCTGGTTTTGTTTGGTTTGAGTTGGATGAGTTCCTGGTTTGGTTAAAAGCGTGGTCA